GGGGGGCTGGACCCGCTCCCGGCCAGCCCTGCTCGGGGACCCCCCCCACACACACACACGGGGTGGGGCTGGACCCGCTCCCGGCCAGCCCTGCTCGGGGACCCCCCCTCACACACACATGGGGGGGGCTGCACCCGCTCCCGGCCAGCCCTGCTCGGGGACCCCCACTCTCTCACACACGGGTCGAGGGCTACACCCGCTCCTGGCCAGCCCTGCTTGGGTGATCAGTTGGACTTACTTGTTCACCTGGATTTTAATAGTTTGACTTCTTACCCAGTCTTGTTCGGTCACTTATCAAAAATATTTGGCAACTTGCAGACTAAGACCCACTGCTGTAAACAGTGGTTATATGACCCGCTACTTTGTGCATGTGTCCTGACTGGTGCTGTCTGAAATCCTGTTTGCAGTAATTTATGGTTGATGGCTTATATAAAGATTTCACTCTGCAAACTTCTGGCCCTTCAGGCTGCTACTAAGTTCTTATTGTTGCCCCAAAAACCCTAAGTATTACAGCTTTACACTTAGCTTCATTTTTAAAGCAATTAATGAAATAGCTGACTTCTGCCTCCCTCCCACCCAGTGTATTAGTTAACCTCTGATCATTGGTAATGATCTCTGAAGTGCAAAGTTTGTTTCCAGTAAGATGAGCTTCTTGAGAGATTTTTCACCCTGTTCAATATTAAATAAAACTTCTCAGACTTGGGCTGACGGCAGGGTCCCCTTTTTTCTTAAGTGGTGTTGCTGCATATCTGGTAGCTACAGACAAATCTATTTTTAATTTTTTGCCTGGTGAGTAGTTCCCTTGTTGGTATGCACTAATGGAGCTACTAATCGGGGATCCTAGTCTGGGGGGCTTTTGATTTGGTTGCGTATATGTGGCCAGTACATTTGGCCTTTAGAACACTGCTACTCCTTGTGTATAAAACTTCCTTTTGAACTACATTTCCTCAGGACCTTTCCTTGGCTCTTTCCATAACTGCTCCCAAATCTATCTGTAGATTAACTAAATTGTAGTGACACCTTGACTATGCTAGGTGTTTTCCAAACAGAGGAAAAAGTACAGTGTCTGCCCTATAAGATGTCTTTTTTTTATATTGCGACAAAGATGAGGGTGGTAAACAGAATACAACAGACAAGCAAGACGATCAGAGCAATGTTGATTGATGACAAATTAAACATGTTGCATTCTCCCCTCCCATTCATCTTCTTTTTGATCCTCAACAATACCCAGTTTCAGTTCTACCTTATATCTCCCCTTCCTACCATTTGATCCCTTGCCTCTAATACATGAGTAGTTACTCATGGGATAAGTGAAATAAATAAGTAGATGACTAAGGCCCAGTCTGTACCTAAAACTTAGGTCATCCTAGCTATGTCGCCCAAGGGTATGAAAAATTCACACTGCTGACAGACGTAGTTAAACTGACCTAAACCACAGTGTAGACACAGCTAGATCAACGGACTAATTCTTCCATCGACCTAGCTACTGCCTCTTAGAGAGGTGGATTAACTACAGTGACAGGATAATGCCTTCTGTCATTGTAGTCTCTCTACACTATAGCGATGCAGCTGCAGCCTTTCTAGTGTAGACATGCACTTAGCTGGCTTCTTGTAGGCATAATATCGAAGAAGTGGATCCTACGGAGTGATTTAAGTGAGGAGAGGGTAAGTGGCTGTGTGGGCCAGCTCAAGAAGGGCGTTCCATGCATAGGGGGCAGCAAGGAAATAAGCATGGAGAAGTTTGTAGGAGAAGAGGACAAATGGGGTATTGAGGCTGGCACAATAATATGATGTAACATTGGTATCTGCACAATGAAGCCTTGTGAATGAGACTTGCTCAGAGCTTTTTCAAGATCTGATTTTTTTCCTTAAAGTTAAACTGTTGTGTTTTGTGGATTACTTTGATATTTTACATGCTCATAGAAGAAATTCTCTCTCTCTCCAGGATATTTTGGAAGGATGCAGGTCCCCTCCCAAGTTGTCCTCCTACTCTGGCTGGGTGCTGGATCGAGTGATCTCCCAATCTCTACAGGAAACACCTCTCTCCCGAAGTTCAACACCCAATGAATCCATTCCCCCTACAGATGACCAGCCGCCCTCCCTTGCAAAGACCACTTCTCCTGCCAGCCAGCTGCGCTCCTCACCACTTTCGTCTGCAGCACCCAGTGAAACAAAGGTAGCTAGTTAACTAATAACCCATATATAAGCAGCTAGGGAAAGAGCATGGTGGTCTGTAGCCTTAATCTGCTTGATCAAGGATGATCCAATAGTCTACTAGTACTAATGTGTTAATTTGTTCTGGCAGTGAATGTATTCAGCTTCTTGGATAGGTTGACTGGGAAATAGTGAGTTGGAATGGTGAGTGACCTCTTTCTTCAATAACGTCTCCTACTGGGCCAGATGCAAACTCCATTTGGCAGTATAAAAACGTTAGCTAGACTATAATAGCTCTCCAGGCTGTCATTGTGAGACACAGTAATATGGAGGAAGGATGACTATGGGGTAAATCTAGTCTTTTCATGAAAATGAATGGGTACTTCTTGTGCTTTCTCCTGCTTGCTCTCCAAAGTCCTACCAAATCGCTTACAGCTGTTAGGCCCCTGTTACAAGGTAGAGTGGAGAGGAAATAGGACAATTCACAGCTAAGTTTAGAAGATAGGATGTAGAATGGGGTGGCAAAAAGAGAATGTGCTTATTGGCTTTTCTTATAGAGGAAAGTACTTAATTTCTTAACAGTTAAATTTGAGTTAGGAGATTTTTTGCAGCTGCTTGGCCTGTAGAATTATGAAAGAACTTGCTAAGGAAGCCATCTTGAGCAATGCCACGTGGATCTGAGCATCTGGTGAAGTTCTACCATGATTTAAAAACTACTTAGTGTTAGAAAGCAGCATGAGTGTAAGTGACGATTTCTCTAGGTACAAGAAGGCTATAAGTGGGGTTTCCCAGGGCCTGTTTAATAGCTAAATATTTATAACTCAAGAAAAGGTGATAGATTTGCAAACCTTTAACCAACATAGCAACATGATCTACATCTTTTCAGAGCATTTCAGACTTGATATTCAGGCATCTAAAATATCAGCTGCCACTTAAAACAGATATCTGCAAAGTAATTCACATCCAGGGAATGAATTTGAGTTTTGCATGCATTTTGCGAGATGCTAGCTAATTTAGAGACTTAGGGGGTGGAGGGAAGACATAGGGAAGATCTTATTATGGACAGTCAACTGTTGTTTTGTACTTAATGGATAGCAGCCATTAATTGCTAAAAGCATGATAGTTGGCATTTTAATACCAATATGTCTTTGTATAAATCACTAACATGCTTTTGCCTTGAATATTGCATTAGTTTTGGTCTCCTTGCCTCAAAAATAATGCTGACTTTCTTAAGTTCTGCAATGAAGAGGGCAAGAGGTTTTGGAGAGATTGTGTAAGGCAAGATTAAATTTGTGCTATTTAGTTTCCTTGATGAAAGTTATAGAATAATGAATAGTTTGAAGATCCATCAGTCACTTTCCTTTATCTAAAGCTAAATACAAGAGACACAGGAAACTTAATGACCTGGATACAATTCCCTGTTCCATCACAGACTTCCTATGTAACCTTGAGCAAGTCACTTAGTCTCTCTGTGCCTCAGTTCCCCATCTGCAAAATGGGGATAATATTTCCCTACCTCACAGGGTGTTGTGAGGGTAAATACATTAAAGATAGTCAGGCACTCAAATACTGTGGAGATGGGAGCTGTATAAGAACCTTAGATAGATAGGCATTAGTCTGCTTTGACTCCTTTATCTCTTGTGGTGCGTGCTGTTTTCTAAAGAAAGATTGTCAGTTTACCTAGTTTCCTGCATAACTTACTGATCTAATCTGTCACTGACTTGGTTTGTTCTGCTGTCCATACAGGGCAATGAAGATCTTAGTCTGCTGGAGACAGACCATGAAGTCCATCTTATGGTTCTACCATCTAAAGTTACAGAGGTGGAAGGCTGCATATGGATGTACGAGGAGGTCCATAGGTTGAAAGGAAAGGTAACAAGGCATGTTGAATCACTGGGGTACTATGTAGCCAAATGTGACAATGTTCCACCAAAACTAGTGGGACAAGCAGATAACCCCTACATTAAAATATGTTTATGGTTATCTTGGCCTAGTTTGTGCTGCTTCACTTGCATTACCTTGTATGCAGATCCCAGTGATTACTGTAGCGCAGTTCCTATCTCTGTCAAAGTCTCTGGTGGGGCAGTTTATGTGAAATCTGGCCCTCCAGAGCCTACTCCCTTCATTAGAAGTCAGCAGGGCTGTGTTCAAAATGCATAGTGTATGTGAATGGCTCTTCCTCTCTCCTTGCAATCTGCAGGAGGGGCTCAGGCAGCGGCAGGAGCAGCAAGAGCAGGTGGTGAGAGCGGTTTCTGATATGGCGAGTGAGCAGCTGAAGCGCTTTGATGAGCTGAAGGAATTAAAACAGCACCAGGAATACCAGGACCTGCAGGAAGTGATGGAGAAGAGGTAAGGGTAGTTCTCTTATGTGACCTCTTAGAAATGCAACAACTAACTTGTGTTGTTGGAGACTGACTAAATTGAGTTTTGATTCTTGGATCTGTAACCCTATTAAAATAGAGCTACTTTCTGTTGAGGTTTGTGGATGAATTGGTACCCAATAGATGTTTTTGTATGTCTTGTTGAATATCATACATCAAGAGACTATCCTTTGTGATCATACGCTCAAACAAATGTGCACATGGCTTTTACAAGTAAAGAAAACTTAATGTAACATTATGGTTTAGAATTTAAGTGCATGGAAGTCACTTGCTGCCTTACATATGGGTATTAAAGTATAAAGTTGACTCACTATCTATTGATACAAGTATTCTCTACTGGAGGCTGAGCTGGTAGCACTACCTATTATTAAGGCTGCCCAACACTTACCATTCTAAGATGCTATTTTCAATTGCTTTAACTTTGTGAAGCTTTAGCTGTTTAGTCTGAAGTTTTCCATACCAGGGATCTGCCTTGTGCTTAAGATTTCAATCTACCCTGAACGGAACCCAAGATTCCTGAATCGCACTGTTTCTTTGCCATCTGAAATATGCTGGCAAAATGTCTCATCCCCCTCCAGTGCTGGTTCAAATAACAATAGTAGGTGGTTATTCGCTATCCGTTACTCTGTAAGATCAAGTGGCAGAGGTCACTGCAGTGAATCTGAAGGTTCCAGCCCTGCTGATGATCCACATGTGATGACATTTGTTTTTTCAGTTTGCTGTTTTTTTAAAACCTAGGAAATCTCTCTCACTCTCACACATGCACGTGATTAAGGTTGCAAAGTAAAGCACTTAAAAGTTAGAAAATGCCTTAATTTGGACCCCTTGTGGATATGCGTTATGATAGTCTTTAATTACAGATTCACATACTATTTTTTTTTCCATAGGACCCTATGCAAACTAAATAGGAACTTTGAGGTGTTAAGAGACATCTATGTAACAGTACACAGCAGTAGTTCAGGACAGGAAGTGAAGATGATTGTATCTAATTGATATTTCAAGAATGGAGAGTGTAACTCACCTTTTGAAATTTTGTCAGGACTCTGGGGTTGACACTTCTGTGACTTATACTTGAAAATCTCATATGCAGCATCTTTGCATTTACTGTCCTACTGATATTTATCTTTCAAAGTGGTTTTCAGGTGGTTCCAGCTTTCAGTAAGTGGATGAAGAGAGACTGCATCTGATGGAGTTCTCCTTTAAACCAATTTTAAAATAGCTTCAGTCTATGGACACACCAGAGTACTTCATCTGGAGCATGTCTTGGGGAAGGGGGTGGGGAATCCTTCAAAGTCCTTTGAAGAACAGAATGGTCCCTCATTTTCTTCTGCTTGTATTTCAGCTCCAGGGAGGCCCAGGGTCAGCAGGAGAAGTTGAAAGAGGAACATCGACACAGAGCAAAGGTCTGAGCTTAGGAAGGGTAGTGCTATTACAAGGAAGGGTGATTGGCCTGTGTTTGGAAGCTAGGACTTGCACAGATTTAACTGCTTTAGTGATGCCTAGCATAACACGTATGTAGAGTGAAAATGTACTTTGCAGTGCTGCCCCACATACTTGCTACACCCCCATCAGAATGCAGATATTCCAGTGAAATGTTCATCATTAAGGACATTCTGCTATATTGCAGGAATAGAAGCAGTTACATTTCACTCATGGCTGAATCATAGTTGAAATGAAAGGTAGTTTGCTACTGACCTCAGATGGACCAGGGCTTTAGCCCTTCATATATAACTATTGAAGACAATGTCCATAGCCACTGAGGCATCGTAACCCAACTTGTCAGGATGTTGTCCACCCTTCACTTTTGTTCTGTGGTAGTAAACCTTTTAGTTCAATGTATAAACAGAGAAGTGTACTATTCTTGTGTGTCCTGATCAGATTTTTTTCAAAATTTTCTTTTTAAAAATCAATAGATTTAAAATTGAAATTACTACTATTTTATGGCTTAAATTTACTATAATCCATTAAAACCATTTAAAGTAAAATAAATAATATTAAGCAGTATGTGTTTTGCTGTAAAATCATAAAAATGTAGGGCTGGAAGGGACCTTGATAAGTCATCTTGCAATGAGGAAAGACCAAGTATACCTAAGACCATTCCTGACAGGTGTTTATCCAACCTGTTCTTAAAAACCTCCAATGATGAGGATTCCACAACCTCCCTTGGAAGACTATTCCAGTACTTAAACTATCCTTATACTTAGAAAAAAAATCCTAATATATAATCTACATCTTCCTTGCTAGAGATTAAGCCCATTACTACTTGTCCTACCTTCAGTGGAGGTGAACAATTGATCACCATCCTCTTTATAACCGTCCTTAACTTATTTGAAGACTTACCAGGTCTCCCCTCAGCCTTCTTTTCTTAAGACTAAATATGACCAGGTTTTTTTAACCTTTCCTCACAGGTCAGATTTTGTAAACCTTTTTTGCATTTTTTTTTACTCTCCTTTGGACTCTCTTCAGTTTGTTCACATATTTCTTAAAGTGCAGTGCTCAGAACTGGATACAGCACTCCAGCTGACGCCTCACCAGTGCAGAGTACTGCAGGACAATTACCTCTTGTGTCTTACATATGAGGCTTCTGTTAATACACCCCAGAATTATATTAGCCTTTTTCACAACTGCATCACATTGTTAACTCATATTCAATTTGTGATCCACTGTAACTTCCAGATCCTCTTCTGCAGTACCACTGCCTAGCCAATTATTACCCATTTTGTAGTTGTGCATTTGATTTTTTTCCTTCCTAAGTGAAATACTATGCACTTGTCCTTACTCAGTTTCATATTCTTTATTTCAGACCAGTGCTCCAAAATAGCCTCAGAGCTGGTGGGGAATTTTTCAATAAAACATTTTTTGTTGGAAAATGCTGATTTGTCAGACCTGAAACTTTTTTCAGAGAAGTTCAGTGAAACGTTCATCGGGAAGACTTCTGAGGTGCAGATAGGAGAGAGGCATAGGGAAAGTCTGTCTGACTGACTTGTTAGCCCAGTGGGTAGGGATTCACAGATTCGAGTCCCTGTCTCCCCCACATTGCAGATGAGTGGTCTAACCGCTAGGTTACTGAATCAGTTTCAGTCTCTCTCTCTCTCTCTCTAGCCAATGAATATTTTATACAAAGTGGAACAGCTCCAACAGGAGAGGTTGAGAGAGACCCATTCCACAATAGCAAAGAGCCTGGTGGTTAGGGAACTCACCTGGGATGAGAGAGATCTAACCACTGAGCTATTGGCTATTCTGCGGTGGGGGTCTCCAATTTTCTACAAAAAAATTGGAAAGCTCTCTGTTTCATCCTGACGTGGAAGGGAAAAACTTTTTAAATCTTTTTTTTTTTTTCCCCCTCTGCCCTTCAGGATAGGAAAACCATTTCCTACCCAGCTGCAGTACTGATAACTTTACCTGCAGTTTGATTTGTGAACCTCAAGGCTGATGATCAGGAACTTGAATATGCTTTTGCTTTTTTTGCATGCTGCTGGTCCCTTTGTTGCCAAACAGTCTGAGATAGCAGCTGGAACTGTCGTGTCCCAACATGTATTGCTCGGCAGCAGTCAATGTATATTATGGGCAGGCAGGATTTGTCCTTCCTTTGGATGCTGCTAAAACCTTTCTTTCTAGATAGGGAGTATGTTTGGACTGAATTCTTCAAACTCTCCCTGAGACTGTTGCTGCCTCCAGAAACATTGAGTCCTATGGTAACAGCACCAGTATGTTGTAGTTTGGCTCATGCTGTTAAAGGCTCTGTAGAATTTCTGCAGTGGGGATTTAAACCGGGGCCGGCAAGAGGAGTGGGGTGACTGGAATGTAGTTTTTAACCAGATTTTCCTGAGCATCTTTGCTTGTGGGTAGCATGCAGGAACTGTGTAGATAGTGTTGTGAGAAAAGCTTTATCTATGTAGCTTAGCTTTACACTGTCACTCCCTCCTCTCTCCAGATTTTAAACCTGAAACTTCGTGAAGCAGAACAGCAGAGGCAGCGTCAGGAGGAGTTGGAGCGTCTGCGCAAGGAAGAAGGCCAGGAAAGGTTGCGCCGGCTCTATTCCATCCAGGAAGAGGTGCTGCAGCTTAACCAGCAGATTGACCCCAACTACAGACATAAAGACTTGCCAAGGATAGATCTCTCAGGGTTCAGTAACCGTGGCAACCAGATCTGCGGGCTCGTGTCAGGGCTCATTCGCACCACTAGTGAGGTAATGAGGTTCTAGGTTTCCTTTTAAGTTAGTTTCTCATTCCTTGAAAGGAGACACTAAGTCAGCTAGTCGAGGGGCACTTTGAGATATTATGTTGCCACAGAAGAGCTTGTAGGTGCAGTTCTTGAAAGAAAGAGAATCTTTTTTCAATTCACTTTAGATGCTCCCTTGAAAAAGGCTTATTTAAATTTATGGGGATTTTTACTGGAGAAGTGATACTTGATGTTAAATATACTGTAAAATGTTAACGTGTTTAGTATGTTCCAGCATTCACAAGCTTTCCTATAGCATCTAGGTTTTCTCACAAAACTACTCTTCTCTGTATGAAAGGTGGGAGACAGAGTAAACCAATGACACACTTCTAAAATTTGGCATGGGCTGGGCTAGTTCTCAATTCCAGTCTATCATAAATGTCTTGTAACTTCAGCTTTAGCTGGCATTTGAAATAGCCCTCTTCCCAGTGGGGTTTAAGGGAAATGGATATTCAGACTACATGGACTTGCTTCTCTAGCATGATCCCTTTTTGTTGTGTTATCCAACCCTGTTAATGGAACTAATGTATTGAGAGTCTTGTCTGGCCCCTTCACTAGAGTCTGTGTCTGTGTTGGGTTTGCAAAGCTGGTTATTTTTCCTTAGTTATAATAACTAAGATGGTGTTAAACTAATGCCACTTATTTTGCTGCTTTGCAGTGGATCACTTTCTGTTTCTAGAGCTTGACTGTAGAAGTGTAAGTAGAAGTCTTCAGTAATTGGTGTACGCAGTGTAGGAGGCAGAAATTCTGCCTTGTCCGTTGTGTACCAGGAAGTGACTAAAGGCCACGAACTTGCTTCTCTTGACTGGTGTTGTGAATTAATCACTGGTTCTGGAGGAGGCAGTCTGGGCTTTCTAGTAGAATGGTACTGCCATTGCACGTTGGGGATAGTAGACAGCATGTGTGTTAGGTTCACAGCTTCTACACAAAGTATGTAGGTGCTATTCTTGGGGCAGCCTGCCCTCAGTTGGTCTTTTGGTAGGGGGAACTTTAATTTGCCTTTTCCTTGTTTCCTGGTAGAGAGGTTTCCCTACTCAGGTAGATGTAGCCAACACTGAGCGAGCACTGCAGGAAATGCGAGGGTTAATATCTAGCATGCAACAAGAAATTGCCACAGCTTTGGAAGAGAAAAGGAAGCGGGATGAAGAAGAGGAGAGAGAGAGGCAGAAGGAGTTACAGAAACAAGAGCAGCTGAAGGCCCAGACTCCAGTCCCTGCACAACATCCACGGGGAAAAGAGCAGAAGGAAGGTAGGTCCAGCACCAGTGAGACCTACCTTACTTTACTGAACTCCGCTGGGCTGCCAGGCTAAACACTGGTTCAGAAATGCACAGGCTGGGGGAGCATCACCATGGATAGGCTTCAGGTCAAGTAGAGCTAATGTGGGTATAGGATTCCTGGCAGAAAGCTTCATTGACACTGAAATTGGTGTTTCATAAACTGGTTATGTTAACTGAAGCAAAAACAGTCATTTTTGGACAATACACATCATGCTGGGACAGGAGGGACACAGACCGTTAATAGAGTAGGGGAGAACCTTGTGGGACAATGTGTGCTGGGTTACATGCATGAATTATTAAAGGGAGCCATTTCTAATTCCTCACGCCTGCTACCACATGCATCCAGAAAGGCCTCTAGAATGGCTTACTGTTTGGCTGTAATTGACGTTCAAAAAATCCAGGCACAGGAGCTATCAGTCTTCAAAGGGTGGACTTTTGTACAATTTGCAAAGCCTTAGTCGGGTATAATTGACTTTCTAAATTTGGTTCTGAAGAACAACAGCTGGTCAGAACTTCTGAGTCTTGACAATTTTTGTAGGACATTAGAATTTCTGATGTTTTTGTTGTGGTAATAGTTTATTTTCCCGTGACTGCTTTTCTTGTCTAGTATTAGGACTTCAGGTTAAGGCAGAGGAGAGCACAATGCAGTGGTACCAGCAATTGCAGGATGCCTCTGACCAGTGTGTTGCTTCCTTTAGTGGATTGACTGACGGCAAAGACAATCAGGTATGGCTACTCTACAAATTCAAATGATCGATATTGTTAGGAAAACTTTCTCCCTCCCGCCCCTGTCTTTCTACTGTCTAATACTTATCTTGAGTGGGATGTAAAGCAGCCTTCAGAATGGTCCTGAAAACTTACCAGTCCACATGCAAAACCTACTCATCCACCTTTTAACAAGATTATGATGAAAGAATAAATGTTTTATTCACCTGTCAAAAATAATCCCTTTCTTTAAGAGGGCGAGTAAAAATTTTGAAAGTCTGCTGTAAAGCAGATTTTTGGCCTGTGTATATGGTAATCTGGCTTAAACCCAAAAAAGTGAATAACTTGGAGTTGGGGCTGTCAGGAAGTCCTTAAACAGTAGCTAAAGACACAAAAGGCACAAAGGCACAAAAGACTTTGAAAAACATTCCTTTAAACAACCGTGTTTCTGCATCTCTTCTCTCATTCCTGGTGAGAAAATGGTTGTCTTTTTTTTTTTTTTTTTTTTTTTTAAATTCAACTTGTGCCTCTCACATCACATATGTAAATTGTAAATTTCCACAGCAAGCAATATTCCCTAATGGATTATAATAACTTCAGGTGTGGGAGGAGTATTGACAAATTACATTGATTCAATGAAGCTTTTAGGTTTCAATGAAGCTGAAACCTTGAGACAGTAAAATGTTAAGCAGCAGCTACTGTGCTTTCACAGGAATTTATTTTTATTAACACTTCTCTGTTATAATACTTTTTTAAAATACTGCAGGAAAAGTTCTGGCTGCCTTAAGGACTGAGCACCTATCCAATTTCCAATTAAAAAATGCTGGAGCAGAGCAAAACCTAGACACTGTAGACTTGATCCTGCCCTCCCAATGCATCACATACACTTATTTTCTATCTTGGAAAATCAGATATTTCATGCTCAGGCTTTTCAAGATGCACAGCAATGACTGTGGCAGACTGACATGTGATCAAGTCCTAATTACATATCTTCCTTTCATCTTCAAGGAGGCTCCATTAAGCAATAAAACTTTTTTGTGTAGGAGACTGGCATGTTGCTGTCTCAAAAGGAGTTCTTCGTTTATTAGTCTGAAGCTGTTCCATGTACAGTTCATTCTCTGTTGTATGTTCCTACGGTGGAGCTTGATCAGCATTTTGGGCCCAATCCTGCAAGGACCTGAATGCCTCCTTTGTGTGTGAGTGCTCTTAACTCCTATTAAAATCAGTGGGAGTTAGTGCTGAATGCATTCTTGTAGGATTGGGCCACTCATGAGAAGTGTCTTCCCTGTGATGATCTGCCTCTTTGGGCTTGATCAGGTCTCTTGTCTGAAGTGATTTTTAACAGCTTTTTACAATCTTCTACAGGTGAAGAATATCAGAATGGATCTCCAGAAAGCAGCCAGCATCCCTGTGAGCCAGATTTCTTCCATAGCAGGTCAGGAAAATGCCGAGAACAATCCCAGCTGAGATGCCGTTTCCCTCTAAATATCTGAGGGGAACACCAAGCCTGCCCAGTATCTGCATTGCTATTACATTGGAGAGCTAATGTGCATGGAGTCCCAATCTTTGTTATCTGAACTTTTACTTGCAGTTGGGAGGGTATTTTCTGCAGTTGGGAGGGATCTCATTGATTTTTAGCACAATTCAGTTCTAGTGACCAGATTTAGAAATATTAACAGTGGATGGGGGCCTAAGAACTCTTACCCGCTCCCTTCAGAATCTGGTGCTAGCTTTACTGAGGCTGATGTGGTTTGGTTGAGGCTTGCTTGTTGGCAACTTCCTAATATTCTGTCTCTCCATGCACTATTGATGATATATTCACAGGCTCTCAGCTAAGAGAGATATTTGACAAAATCAATAACCTTCTCTCTGGAAAGTCTGTTCAGTCTGGAGGGCGAACTGTTTCGGTGACTCAACATCCACAGGGTCTGGATTTTGTTTATTACAAACTGGCGGAGAAATTTGTGGTGAGGACACCTTATCTTATTGGGGTGGTGAGGGTAGCCAAAGCTTCTGGAGCTTCTCTGTGATGCTGACCTGTGTCTTTAACTATTGAAAACAAAACTCTTAGGAACTTATCACCTGCCAGGCTATGCTCACACTGATTAGAAAAAAGGGGGATATATTTTTTGGTCCAGGGAAAAGAGGAGCCTTGCTTTCTTCTTTATGCACTTGCTCATATCTTATGGAAGGAGGCAAGGCCCCTTTGGCTCCTCAACTTACTCCCTACGCACTTTTTTTTTTAACAGAGGCGTGTGCAGTACCAGTGGAATGTAGGGTGATATTTAGCATATCATATAGCACGAACCTATGCACATGCTCAAAATACACTATTGAAAACCTTTTAACTTGGCAAAACTTGAAACAAGAATTCACTGGGGCACTGAAACACACATCCGCAATCTAGGGACTATGCCCTTGCCAAGTTTCCAACACTTCCTATTGAGGGGCTATAGCTGTTCAAATTAAGCTGCCCTTTTTTTTTTCTTTATAGGGAGTGTTTTTTCTACTCTCCATTCTCAAATGGCTTTAACTGCATTTGCTGAAGATTTAAATAAATCAGTAACCCTTGCTTTTGTGCTGATCACAAATGTGCAGAATTCTAGCTCAAAGGGTAAAACTTGGTTAAATTATAAGCATCTGAAAATGGTCCTTTAGAATGAAAATACTTGTGTAACCTTAACTACAGGCTTTTGTAAATACTGCCTCTAATCACTTACTCATTTTCTTTATCCTGAGAAGAAGGGTTTATGGGCCTCTGTCTCTTTCTGGCAAGGACATGTAGATTGTATTGTCCTCCCATATTGGGTAGCTGCATGTCCGTGGAATGTATTAGGAGCCTTCAGTAAAGGATATATGTAAACTTAAAAAATAAATTAAAATGTTGTCTTTGTTGAGCATTAACTTGAAAGGGGGGTGTATCTTTAATGTTTTCAGAAACAAGGAGAAGAGGAAGTGGCTTCTCACCACGAGGCAGCTTTCCCAATTGCTGTGGTGGCTTCAGGAATCTGGGAATTGCACCCCAGGGTGGGAGACCTCATTTTAGCTCACCTGCACAAAAAGTGCCCCTACTCTGTACCATTTTATCCTGCATTCAAGGAGGGGACTCCCATAGAAGAGTATCAGAGGTAACTTCTCCATATAAAGGGGCTTCTTTGGAGCTCTGTAAGGGCTGAGATTAGTGGCTGGTGGAGAAATTGAAGAAATACATGTTTTCTTACATTACCCCTCATTTGACCGTGTCTCTCTCTTCTCTTCTCACCCCCCCCCCCCCCGCCTTCCTCAAAGGATAATTTACTGATCTAGTTTTGAAGTGTCCAGTACAGAATCCAAAGATAGATGAATAGAACCTTATTGCTTTACATTGATGTTTGCGATTACTTGGAAATCTGAGATCAGGCATGTCTAGAAGCAGCGTCACTGGTTTGTCTGCTGTTTAAGTGGATGCTATCGCCACTAAAATACCTCCACCCCCAAAAAATAGTGTTTCAACCACGGCTGTCAAACAATTAAAAAAAATTAATCATGATTAAACACGAGATTAAAAAAAATCACGATTAATCACAGTCTTAATCGCACTGTTAATAGAATCCCATTTATTTAAATATTTTTGGATGTTTTCTACATTTTTAAACATTGATTTCAATTTCAACACAGAATACAAAGCATACAGTGATCACTTTATATTTTTTATTACAAATATTTGCACTGTAAATTAGAAACAAAAGAAATAGTGTTTTTTAGGGTTGTCAATTGCAGTTAACTCACGTGATTAACTCAAAAAATTAATTGCGATTAATCACAGTTTTAATCGTACTGTTAATCAAAAGAATACCAATTGAAATTTATTAAATATTGTGGACGTTTTTCTACATTTTCATATATATTGTATTCTGTGTTGTAATTGAAATCCAAGGGTATATTATTTTTGATTATAAATATTTGCACTGTAAACATAAACAAAAGAAATAGTATTTTTCAGTTCACCTGATACAAGTACTGTCGTGCAATTTCTTTGTTGTGAAAGTGCAATTTATAAATGTAGATTTTTTTTTTTTGTTACATAACTGCACTCAAAAACAAAACAATGTATAACTTCAGAGCCTACAAGTCCACTCAGTCCTACTTCTTGTTCAGCCAATCGCTAAGACAAACAAGTTTGTTTACATTTATGGGAGATAATGCTGTCCGCTTCTGACTTACAATGTCTCTGAAAGTGATAAGCATTCACATGGCACTGTTGTAACCAGCCTTGCAAGGTATTTATGTGCCAAATACGCTAAACATTCATATGCCCCTTTATGCTGTTCAAACTTTCAGTTGTCACCGCTGTATCTTACAGCACCTTACTGATGAGCAAACCTAGGGCCAGACTTTTAGCGTAGTTGCTTATCCAACTTTTTATTTATTTTGCTGGTGAAGGGATATATGTTTATCAATTAACCTGGTTTGGTGTATTAATATTAGAATATCTTTCTTCTAATACATAGGATACTTGGTTATCAAGTTAAGGATTCCAAGGTAGAGCAGCAGGATAATTTCCTTAAACGGATGTCTGGAATGATCCGTCTTTATGCTGCTATCATTCAACTACGGTGGCCTTATGGAAACAAACAAGTGGTATGTAAATAGCGCTTTAAAAATGTTATATTACAACACTAGCTCTTGGGATAGGAACAGCGTTGACTAAACTAATTTAAAATGTGGTTTTAAAACTGATCCAGACAGAATTTAAACCAGTCATTGTGACGAGAGAGAAACTATCTTTAAAGGACAGGAGTACTTGTGGCACCTTAGAGACTAACAAATTTATTAGAGCATAAGCTTTCGTGGGCTACAACCCACTTCTTCGGATGCATATAGAGTGAAAACCTTAGAGCATAAGCTTTCGTGGGCTACAACCCACTTCTTTGGATGCATA